GACTAAATATATTACACAGTTCTTTAAGAACACAGAGAAAAATAATCACTATAAAATGGTGACATTTTTGAAAACATTGCTTACAATTTCCTACAAGTCCTGGATCTCATTACAGCAATTTGGTTTGAAAAATCTTACAACTGTGTGGCAACGAATGCAAGCAGCAAGGGGGCTGGACCAGCTCCCTAGCACAAAATCCTGGAAGCCAAGGAAGTGGAGCTGCAGATCTGGAAAGGGCTGCACTTTAGCACCGCTATATCCCTGGATGGGTACAGGTTGCCTACACAGTGTGTGGGGATAGCCAGGCCCCAAAGATGGGATCCAGGAAAGCCAGTTTCTGAGCAGAGTCACCGGGAATCACCAACCATTCCCTTCTCAGACTCATAAGCTCACGCCGTGAATCTACAGCTCCCTGTGCTACACAGAAAATAGGCATCCACTGAGGATTCAATGAAGGATGTGCCTTGCACTGTTCTCTGATCCTCTCCCTTCTCTCCTCTCTGTTCTTAGCACTGAAGCCCCCAATAAAAGCGCAAACCTAAGTCCTTCCCTCAAAAGGATCTCACTTTCCCCAGAGCTCCAGGCCCATCCATGAGACAGGCAACTCAAGTACAAATATTTTGAGAAGCATTAAAACTAACTTTCTTTTTGATAGCTTTTTGGTAATACAGCTGAATTCTGTAATTCACTTCACCACTGAGAAACACAAAAGGAGCAGGAGGAGAGGGAAAAGCAGCCAGGACCGGGGCCAGACTGCTAACTTTAGCAGCAGCCCTGGCTTAAAGGCCTGTCAGCCTAAAGCAACAACATCAAGAGCTTCAACTGCTTCGTGACACTCATCAGCCCCATTTTCTTAAATAACAGGCTGGAAGCATTTTCATGCTACGTAGGTGGCAAAACTCCCACCACCTTCCGTAAGACTGGACCAAATGTTGTTGATAGTTAAACAAAAAAACCGCACACTTCTATCAAACAAACCAGGAAAGTCTGTCAATACTTCATCGTTTTATTTACATTATTTCAGTTTCTCTGCAATAAACAGTAAATAGAATGCAGAGAATGCTCCTTTTTAGGGAAAACAGTTAGGGTAGGCTCTGCTCTGAGGTTTATTTTACTTGTCAGTATTCTTTAGAATGAAATGACAAGGTCAGACACCCATCACGAAAAATAACATGCATTTTAAAACACATGCAAAAAATATGAATTCTTTGATACTTTATGGTCGAACATCTGCTAAACCACTACTTTTTCCTCAATTATGGGATTCCCAAAGCTGCAATTATATCCATTTTCCTCAGAATTTTGGGTATATAATCAGTACTACCAGAAATCAACAGAGTCTTTCTATATATATGTATATCTGTATGTCTTGCCAATGTTAAAACACTGGAAATGAGACAAGGAGATTGTCCAAATATGGTAAACCTCCAGTTTATTAGCTCCCTAGAGTAAGCACTTTCTAACATTGTATCTTGTTTTTTAACTACAAATCTGCTTCCATGAGGCAGTGACGATTCTTGATTCTCAACTTCTGTTGACTTCTGGAAATCCAGGTCACTCTGTTTTTTTTCTTCCCCTTAATAACACAGGCATGAAATCACTCTCTCCTTGTTAGATCAAAGGAAGTGAAGACTTTTCTTTTGACCCAACACCTCCAAATCTTGGAATACACTGAAAGGAAATATGTTTTTTTTTAATGAAAAGCGCTAACCTTTCCTCCCCTGCCTCCTTTGTTGCTCAAGTCGGAGTGAATGTGAAGGCTGACACCTTGGCATATTGCCCAGGCCTCAAGAAGAAAATACGGAAACGTGGATTTTATCCACAAGATCACAAGGTAAGAGTCACCACCTCATATACATAATCAGAACGGTTCCTGGCCTGAACAAGCCAATCAGCTTCTTGCCAAAATTATATCCAAGCTGAACTCGGGAAATCCAAGCAAATCCAAGATGTGGGGAAAACTCTGGCCGAGTCCCATAAGGCTTCCAATCCTATAGGCATGGGCCAGATAACAGACTTAGAGGAAACGAGATGCTCCTTGTAGCTTCCAGCCAATGTTGGCTCCACTCTCGGGCAAAACAAACAAACAAAAATAGTATTTAGGGCTTCCTGTTTCTGCCTCAATTAATCCTGGATTCTTTTCCATGCACTTGTATGGTGTACGCAAAAATGGAAAGTGAATGGCCTCAGGATGTGTTCTGGCCATTGGGTCCCTCTTAAGAAAGACAGGTTTGAATGGCCATTTCTCTTGTCCATTCGAATGGACAGAAGAGAAAATAAACCCTGAATTTCTAAGACCAAAAGCCAGGTTTCTAATCACCATGATGCTACTACAATTTTAATGAAGAGCCCTTCAGAAAATTTGTTGTAGAAGCTGACTTCAAGGAAGAGCTCGAAGGCCCCATAAGAGCCCCTGAAGCCCAGCACATGGCACTATTCCCACCTGGAGAGAAGCAGCACTTTTTCCAGTCAGGATTTCCCGCCCTCTTAGCTGAGCAGGTCCCAAGGTGAGTCTGGGCACGACGAGGGCGGGCTGTGGAACGGACATCCACAGGTTAGTCCTCAACATTTACACTGCCCCAGGGCCAGAGCTCAGCATGAGATCGAGAGATCTTCTAAGCATCGGATTCCGTGCAGCAAGAGCAGTTCAGTGCCAGGAGAATCAGCATTAAACATCCCATAATAAATTGTATTATTTTGATTACAGGATGACTCACATTCCCACAGCTTCTTGGCCCAAAGAAAATAAATTAGTAGTGCTGATATTCCCTTAACAAGAGAAATTGTTTAAATATTTCAAATATGATTTACGGTAGCCGCTTACTCCTTCTTTTCTCAGGAAAAGGGCACAGTGAAAAGCACTGGTTAGACCACAGGGAACAGATCTGGGGGAAAAATTCCTCAGAAGTCAGAAGCAATGGGGTGATGGTTTTAAAAAATTTGAATATGCATTTTTTATTCCATGTTTGGGACGAGTTCCAGGCTAGATGCCCACCCCTGCCTGTTCCCCCCCAGCACACAAATCTGCCAGGACACGGCCAAAGTGAGGTAAGAGCAGCAGAAACGTTAGCAGCCATGGGCACTAAGATAGATTTTAAGCAACAAGGTGATGAGTGGAATCAAAATGATTCCACTAGCTGTGAGGAGCTGCCCACTTTCACCTCAGAGATTTAGTAACAATACAATTTTCTAATACTAACACATATACAACTTGAAAAGTATGGCAGATTTCAGGGGAAAGTAAGATGCTGCAGAAGAATATACTGTGTTTTACTGCCTTTCTACTGCCTAAAGCAGCACTGAATAATACAATTTTATCTTCCAAGATATTACCAGTCATAGGTTCTAGCCTGACCATTCAGTTGCCAACACAGTAAGATGATAACAGATGAAAAATAATCTGGTAGGAAATTTTGAGCATGTTTTGAAGTGTAAATTCAGGATCTCACCTAATGAAAAAAGCAAAACCTCGGAGTAAGAGAACACAAATGCCAATAACTAGACCACTAAGGAGGGAAGCTGCAAGCAGGCTAGTTATTCCTCACAGATGTGAGTCCGCTCAGCAAGATTAAATTGCAGGTTCTCTTTGCAGGTTCAGTAACGCTTGCTCAAGACCAAAAATACTGTTGTAATTTTAGCTTTCTTTTTAAGAAGCTTGAAACAGGAATGAGATGGATACAGAGTAAGTCGTAGGTTTAACCTATGCTATAAATATTCACCTGCCCAAGCGTTAAGCCTTAGACATATCATGTGATAAACAAATGTTCTTAGTGGTTTTGATTGTTTTGCATTTTGGACATGTGCTCATCTTAATATCACAGAAGCAAATCGGACAAAATTTACGGCAGCAGTTTTTCTAATCTAATATATTTTTTCCAAATATATTTTAAATTTCCCATTTTTATTTTGCTATACTTTGAAGAGCTACACACTTTTTTCCTAATAAAAATAGCTTTTATGTATTATTTGTTTCACTTCACAAAGAAAATTTGCTATCAGATAAATTTACCTTTTATTAAAAATGAGCATCAGCTTACCCTTTATTATACCCTTAAATTAAATTTATTGTCTCATAAAAAGTATGGATGTATTTTAAGTATTCTAGAAGTAAGTCACTAGTTATATATGGAGAGCAGTCACAGAAGTAGGTTACCATCTGGCCTTTTAACTAGCAATCCTGACAAAGCCCCACTGCAATAGGTACAAAAAAAGAACCTTACACATGTGCTCTTCAGAGATCAAGTTAACATTCTGGAGCTCAAAATACATGAATTTTGCTGAGCCCTGTTAGAAATCATTCCTGTTCCTCAAGTAACACACCACACACGATCTATTAAAACACACTCCTGAAACAGGTAGAGGGCCAAAGACTTTTCCAGGATGACAAGACTGAGCGGGGGAAAAAAAAAAAAAAGAAAAAAGAAGAACAGAAAGCAGGTGTGGGGAGGAAAAGAACAGACAGACACTGACTGCCAGGCTCAGCAAGGGGACTTTCCAAGCTCAGCACAAGATCCTGCTCCTCTTCCTGCTGTCGTGTTTGCGGCCATCGCGGAGCGCTGAGCTTCATGGGACACGGCAGGGTACGGCGGGAGGAGCAGCACTCAGCGACCCCCTGGGGATTTCTCTGGCTAAAAAGAGGAAACAGAAGGCCTGGAAAGCCCCAAATCGCAGGAACCAGTTGCCCACCAATCTTAACAGAGGAACTTTGGCAAGAAGCTTCAGCAGTACTAAAAAACGAGGCTTGCTGGAGATTTAACAGCGTTCGGGCATCAGCAGTGATAGTACACACTCGTTCAGCGAGACTGAATGTGACAAAATTGCCTCACTTACAAACAGGTTACCCAGAAAAGTTCCAGCAAGACAGTATCTCTTTTTGCAGAACTATTCTGGCAGGAAGAAAACTTCAGTTTGTCCACCAAAAGAGGATTTTTCTAGTGCTATCATATACTTTTGATCCTGAAAAGCAACTGATAGTCAATTGCAAAAGGAAGTACCGTTACCTTCTGGTGCAGTTGCAATGCTGTTCCCAAGTCCTAAAATAGCAATGCTGTGTTTCCTTGGTTCCAGCATCATGGCAAGCTCTTCTCCTCTTTCCCAGTGAGGCACTTTTACAGGCTCCAGGTGCACATTTTCCAGCCCATCTTCCTGCAGGGCCCTGAACATATACTTGATGGCTGCATCGAGATTCTCGGAACCACTCAGTCTCGGTCCTATGGTATCAGCAAAAACTGCTAATCTTTCGTAGGACCTGTTCTGAGCTTTTCCATAAACAGCAAGGTCAATAATATCTTTAGCAATGCTGGAATATCCAGCAATCTCTTTTTTAATGTCTTCAAATGCTTTGGGGTAATTGCCATCTCTGCTCAGAGACTTCCCAGCATACTGTGTTAAGAAATTCATGAAAAGTATTAAGATTGGGTACTTCATTTTTTCTTTTCTTTTCTATGGATGGCCTGTTGGGAGAGAAAGAGAAAAAAAAAAGACCATATCAAACCATACAGCTATCAGCAATACTCTTTTTTGTTATTTGGATTGGCAGAGAGAACAAAATGAAAACAAATCAGTTTATCATGAAAATGCTTTGATCAGAACTGGCAGAGAAGTAAATTCCACTTGGAGGCACAATTATTGAAAGCAAATGAAAAGGATACTTAGACAACTGGACACAACCTTTATTGTGGTCTTCAGAAATGTCCTTGGAATGCAGCATCTCCTCAAATAATCACATCCTTCACTAAATAAAAACCCAGTGCTGCTTCCATCCAGCAAGAGCTTTGCAACTGCTTCTACTAGCAGCAGTATGTGCCAAAAGTGTGGAATCAAATGTCTTCACACAAAACATCTGGACAAAAAGGTTCCTTAAGCCATTCATGAATAAAACTGCTTCTAAATCTCTATATTCACAAATCAGAAAAGCACTTTCTATTGCACTACAAAAATCTCAAAACAATTCAGATCCAGTGCCCCCTTGAAGAATGTATTATTTTTTTTCATTGCATAAACCTATAATTACCTAAGAAATAAAACTTCTGATTTTCTGGTGCGTCACTTAAGGGCTGATTTCAGCAGTGCTATACAAACGTACAGCACCAGAGGTACAGATTCTCTTTTGAGTACTGAGAGTTATCTGTACTGAGGCCTTAGAGTTCATCTATCTTTCCAAACTTTCAATGCCATAAAAATGACAGTGTATTAACTGAACGGACAAAGAAACCTCTGGAATCAGCTGGAGTGTTTGCAAAGCCCTTTCATAACACAGGAAGTATGACTATCAGAACCCAGAATATATAAAAGCTTTTACTGTTATATACAAAGGGGAATATAATAGTTTCATTTCCCTTGAATTTAAACTGAGCCATTACTTAAAGGCTGTAACACTCTTGAATACTAAACACCTAAAAATTAATAAGGCCGTTAAATCATCCCTTCGTCTGATGAGTACGAGACTTAACAAAGAAAACGATAGTGACTAGCAACAATTACTAATGGCCCAAAAAGTGTTTGATACAGGACTTTTGCCACTTTCATGAACTTTTTATAATTCGTTATAAGAAATAATGCTATTTTTCATACAGGATAAAGTTTGCCATATAAAACATAGTAACACTAAAGACAAATGTTGATGATTACTCTACAAAACATGGTTTTCTTGGAAACGACTGTTCTATGAATTGTAAAGGACTAATTAGTTGGCTAATGTGGACAAAACAGCAGACCTGCATGGCAGAAACAATTCTGAATGTTAGGTTTTCTTCCCTTTTTGCACTTATCTGGCATTTCTGAAGACTTACACTTCTTGTTCTATAACCAGTGACCTGAGGAATCATGAAAATACACTCACCTTGCAGTCTTTGTGTTTGTATGGTACAGGCACGCAGACAGCCCATACACTATATATGTGTTTGTGTGTGTGTGTGAGTGCCTATACCTCTCTCTCTCTTTCTCTGTATATATATGTGGACACATACATACATATACATATATATTTGCATGTATTATATTCACATACGGTATTCACATACAATCTACCAAAATGTATTCCTACTCACTGCATTGTACTGGAGCTTTAATCGAGACTATTAACTCTCAAAGCTTCACAATATCCAAGGAACTTTGCAGGTGGTAAGACGAGAAGAGACCAGCGTGTGCGTTTCACTTGCAGCTTGCAGAGGGCAGTTTGCAAGATGTTCCTGAATTAGCTCCCAACGCTCGAAGCTGCACTGCAAACCAGCAGCCAAGGCAATTCCTGAGAGTACCAGGGAGGTTACACTGGCTCTGCACCTCCGGCAGCGCTTGCCACATCTGTGTGCAAAGCCTCTGCAAGAAACAACCCTTCCATGTGCTTGTTACAACAAACCGCAGACAGCTGAACTCATTTCCTCAAGGTATTATTTCTCAGCATTTGTTAAAAAAAGACAACTTTGGAAAATGAAAAATGAAATTACCTTCACTTAGCAATGAATTCTGTTATCTCCTACATTTCTCAATTCTCGTCGCAGTTTCTCTCCTGTCCCCGCAGCAGTTTTGTATATATCTGTATTTCCACCTAGAAATCTTTGACTGTGAAGCCTTCAGGAACTACCAGTTCGACTTCCTCTCATTCAAAGTGAATGTCAAAGATGCTGAGATCAACAAAAATGCATAAAATTCAAATGTGATGTTAAAGTCCTGGCCTGACCGTAGTACACAAACATACAATTGCCACATTACTTCTGTTTTTTCCCTGCTTTTAATTCACCTTATCCCTTCGAAGAGGCTTCATCAGCCTTCTAGCTGTCTAAAGGCTTTAAGTGGTATTCTCCTTCCCCATGTGGGAATCGCAGAATCACAGAGTCATTATTATTGGAAAAGATCTTCAGGATGATCGAGTCCAACTGTAAACCCATCACGATCTTATCTGCTAAACCATGTCGCTAAGCGCCTCATCTACCCATTTCTTGAACACTGCCAGGGATGCCCTGCGCAGCCTGTTCCAATGTTTCACCTCTCTTTCCGTGTAGAAATTTTTCCTAATATCCAACCTGAACCTTCCTGGTGCAACTTGAGGACATTTCCTCTTGCTCTATCCATAGTTATTTTGGATAAGAGATCGGCCCCCGCTTCACTACAACCTTCTTTCAGGTAGTTGTAGACAGTGATAAGGTCTCCTCTGCTCCAGACTAAATAATGTAAATAATGCATTTACTCCAAACTTCACTCTTAAAAATGGAAAGCGAAAAAGGAAAGATTTCTATTCACAAGGTTCCTCTAGATCCTACTCAACCCCTGGTAAGGAAGAACACACAAAGTACTCTCATATATATGTGTGTATGTGTGTATATATATATATATCTGTCTGTCTGTCTATCTATCTACCTCTATATAGTATCCAGAAGACAAAGATCAGGCCCACAGGCATGCTAGGAGAAGCTGAATAATCACCCTCAGCAAACAGTGGGGTTGGGACTGTGAGAGTGCACGCTTATCCTTCCTATGACACCCTAAGACAGCATTTGGAAGTTTTAAGCCTAACTTCTGGAACGTCGGGAAACTGCCTAGCTTAGGAGCACGGATTCAGCAGCGGGCCCAGAAGAGGCAGCCCCAGGGTGTTGTGGAGAGCTCTGCCTGTCGGGCCCCGAGCGCCGGGGCAGGCCGGGAGGGAAGCGTTCGCAAGACGCCGCTCGAAATGCCAGCAGGTTCAGTTAGCGCCTGCGCTGCGGAGTTAACGCACGGAAAGAGGGGATGGCACTGAAGCCTTTCTCACTCAGCAAAAGCAGCAAAAAAGGCACAACAAACTGTTTCTGATGCACCAAGCCTACATCAAAGGATATCAACCCAAACTACTGGCCTTTCATAGGTTTTTCTAAACGTTTTCATAGACAGTAAGTTAAATACAAGCTTTAGCAATATAGGAACATTAAGCTATCCTCCTTAACTCAAATGCCTCTTAAATTTAAGGTAGTAAAAAATCTTCACAGGAAAGTGTTGTCTTCCCTCCAAAACATTCTGCGATTTCACATACGAATGAAAAGCCTGTTACACAGATTTCCTTTTCCCTGTGACACAGACAGGTCAGAAGTCTTATGTGATTGGGAGCAGAAGACTCGGGGTTATCTCAGGTCACTGACAGAAAACTCTAAAGACCTTGTTGCAGACTGAGTTACTGCTTGTGGTTACATTACACCGTATATATTGGTGTGTTTTTCTTACTAAGCTCCTCATGTTTCTTCCCTTTGGACCAGTTAACTATATGCTCATCGACATCCTCTGCTAGAGGCATCAGTAATTTTCTCAGGACACCCATGTTTTTTCCTTGATCTTTTGCCATCATCCACAAATAGGGAAATGAGCTAATCTGACTTCTGTCATAAGACAAACTCTTGCTGAGTGGAGTAAGACCAGGATTTTGCAGAGTTAGTTCCAAGATCTGAAGGTCTGGGCTCTTCTTTGTTTAAGGGTTTGCAAACCCCACCTGACAAAGTCGATGTACTCAGCAGGAGCTACACAGAAAATGCAGGGGAGATTTTTTAATTAGCATTTACAATCTCAAATAGCCCCCAGCTACCAATTCACTACATTTTTTTTTCAATGGATAAATGAAAGCACAGATATCACGTTCCCCTTAACTGAGAACTGCTTCCTTTGCTGCTCCTGGGCTCATTCAAAACGAGCAGCAGTCTCACCCCACAGGCTACCCAAGAGGAGCTGCATTTAAGAGTAAAGCTTCAAGGAATTTCCTATCCAACCATGAGATCAGGCATGTTCGCACAGTTTTTCTGCATGTGACACACTCCCACCACAGCCAGCATTTCCCTACCTCCCTCCCAGTGCTGTGTAAGAGGAGCATCACTGGATTCCCACCTTGGCCAAGGGCACAAGAAGGGGACCAGGATTTGTTGTGTTTCCCTCAGTGGCTCAACATAACCTGGCCAATAGCTAGGAGCAGCATTTAGGAATATTCCCCTGCTAGGGAAAGCAATGTCATACTCCCCTGGGCTGCAATACAGGATTCACTCCACTCCTCTTTCAGAGAGCACATCTGTTCTCTTAGTCTCTGCAACATTAAGTTTGTCATCCCAGTAAAGCAGCTGGGAAACAGAGTGCTGATCCTGGCCCACTCTACCAGTCACACTTCGCAATGGGCATCACTGCGCCAGCCAAGCTCAAAAGTTAACAGAACGCTCACTGTTGTTCAATACATTTAATTGTAATTTAACATTCTCGGTAAAAGTTCAAAGCACAGACTGCAAAATGAAACGGGAAGTGCATTCCTTTCTTCTGGCCTTACTAATGCATCTGATTCCATGACTCTAACACAAGAGCTGTAACCACTTCCTGAAGTTTCTACTTCAGGCCCCAGGACTCCCCTTTCCCTGCCAGGGAAGGATGCTCATTAGCAAGCTATGGTTAAGCTCCCTGTTTTATGTTCTCCCTCTGACCCTGTAAATCCTGCACGCTTGGGAAGGTTGAAGAACA